GCCTTGTATTTATGTAAACTAAGTACCTTAAAATTGTTGACAAATGACATGGTTGAATAAAAACTTAGATGTTTATATGTCATCATTATTACCCTCATGGTTTCTGATAAACGTCAAATTTTTAATATTAGAGAGTTTAAAAAAATAAAAAAAAATTCATTAAAAAGAGTTCAATCAACTAATGAAGTGTTAATTCTAAATTAGCAAATGTTGATTATATAAATCATGTGTATAGCAATTTTTTTAATTAGACTATTTTTCTAATTGACATAGTTTTCCACAAGATATTAACTTTTAATTAATAAAATAAATAGTCGTGAAAATTTTGAAAACAAATGTTATATCAAACTAACTNTTAAGAACATAAAAATCTTATATGTCATCCCTAGTTTATCAAAATTAAATCAAATATAATATCAACAATCAAGCCTTGTATTATGTAAATTAAGGCCTTGTATTTATGTAAACTAAGTACCTTAAAATTGTTGACAAATGACATGGTTGAATAAAAACTTAGATGTTTATATGTCATCATTATTACCCTCATGGTTTCTGATAAACGTCAAATTTTTAATATTAGAGAGTTTAAAAAAATAAAAAAAAATTCATTAAAAAGAGTTCAATCAACTAATGAAGTGTTAATTCTAAATTAGCAAATGTTGATTATATAAATCATGTGTATAGCAATTTTTTTAATTAGACTATTTTTCTAATTGACATAGTTTTCCACAAGATATTAACTTTTAATTAATAAAATAAATAGTCGTGAAAATTTTGAAAACAAATGTTATATCAAACTAACTTTTGTATCTCTTATTGAACTTAGATGAGGAAACCCGTCCATAAATCTAAACACAAGATTTGTGTATATGTAAGTAGAGGCGTTAATCTTGCTTAAATAGTTACTTGGCTTAAATTATTCGAAAAAAGATAAATTATAGATTCCTAAATATTTGAACTTCCTACCTAGTTCAATAAGGAAAGATTTAATAATCAATATTTTAGTTGATTTTTAAGTCTTAAATAGTAGGAAAATAATTTAATCACAATTTTGTCCAATAAAAATATTTATTTTTAAGGGCAAAAAAGACGAACGATATTTTGCGTCGCGCGTGTAACCCGTATCCATGAGAATTACTTTTTTTTTTGAAGCATAAATATTATTCAAATATTGTCTTTGAATTGTAACGTATAAATTAAAAACTTTGCAAGTTCCTGAAAATGATAAATGATATTAGTGTATAGATATTTGGATTCAATCAAGCGATTCTTTCTCCAATTTGCTCGAGTAAACTCTTCTTAATAAGATCAACGGTTGCAATTTGTTGTCACTAAAAACTTGAAGAAATTCCGTGCTTTAATGAGGTATATATTTTTTTATTTGTTCTTTTTTTTTTTTGCAGAAGCTTTTTGCTTTAGTAAGCTACTATATATTACATTACATGCTTAAAGCTGAAATACAAAAAATTCACTCTAATAACTTTTTGAATAATCACGTATTAAATTTCTTTGGACTTTCTGACAAAGAAGAACAACCGGTAAACAATGGGCTATGAAGATATCAAATACTTTCTTGTGCTCAAGATACAAAATTTGTAATGAATAAAAGCAAAATGTGTACTACTTCAAATTACCAAATAATATTTCTTGCTAAAGTACAACAGATTTTTTCCTAATTGCTCAAAATGCCCATCAAGTGCCTAGAATACTAAATCCTAAACAAGGCAAGGAGTTTAATCTTTAGTTCACCCTAAACTGATTGTTAATATCTTATATTTTCATGTGAAAATATTAAACAGTCAAGTCTATGTCAATTGGGTCGACATCACCTATTTTGAGAATAAAATATTTTAGTCTTGTTAAAAAACTTATTGAAATATAAAGGATGCACCAGGCATACAATTTTTTGTTGTTGTTGTTAACTGGACAAGCACACATATAATTAATAATGAGGAAAAGTAGCATACTTATTAGAAAGTAAAGGACATTTACTTCCATATAAAGGATGGTGTTGACTGCAAGTATTCATTCGGAAAGCAAAAATAAGAGCAGAAATATCCAAGTGAATAGGCAATCTTAAGTCTCTACATAAATACCCGGATAAAAAACACAAATGCCACTCTTTATATACCAATATTCAGGGGCGAAGCTACGTAGTTACTGACCACCCTTCATCGAAAAATTACACGGTATATATAGGTAAAATATTAGATTTTAGTGTTATATAACATATATTGAACACCTTTTATCAGAGATTTTTTTTACTTCTTTCAAATTTGAACTCCCTAGATGAAATTCCTGGCTTCGCCACTACCAATATTAATGCAGTCACCAACAGTAGTTTAAAGAACTAATTAAGGAGCCCATTTTAAAAGTTATCAGGTGTAACATGTGGTAAAAGCAAGGACAACACAAGCAAAAAGCCTAAGGGAGACTTCTACATGAAAATAAGCTACTATAAAGAAAAAATCAAAAAATAAAAAGAACTTCACGGTAAATAAAGCAACATAGAAAATCTTTTTTCAGGTTCTTCTTATTTATGTGCTCATATTGTTTCTTCGAATTAACTTGCTTATATGTCATTGATTTTGTCCAACTACCCACTGTTAGTATTAGAGGCCTTTTCTCTGGTAGATTTTTAACATTTAATCACAATCTTCCGGTCATGTTTAGATGCTATCTAGAAATATATACAAGAATGTGCACTCGCACAAACACACATAGAGAGACATGCATTACAAAGCATGAAAGGAAGCAATTAGTTTTGATAATTTTAGCATGTTCAATAACCCGTTAGAAAGTCACTAAGAATTGTATAACAAATTTAATAATCACTATGTAAGACAATAAGACATTATAATCCTGTAAAAGAATTGTATCTTACAGAAAAGGATAAATTTACTCCGTAGAGGGGCAAGACAAAGCAAGCTAAGAGTAAAATTATACTCCATATTAGAGTTCATTACTCACACAGTTACTGAACTATGTGAAATTATTGAGTAAAGTCACTTTTTTTTCACTTGTAACAAGACAGTTACTCAACTATTCCTATTACACTCTGATGATCACTCAACGATTTATTAATTTTTCGGTGGAAAATGCTGATTTGGCCGTCCACATTTACTTTTGGACTACATAAAATAATTAACACCAAAAGAAAATATAAAAATCCACCCATACACTCAATCTGTCTCGATTCGACCCGTTTATAAGAAAGAGCGCTGTAAGATTTTTGGTGGATTTTAATCTTTATAAATGGTTCGGGTCGGGTGTATGGGTGGGTTTATATGTTTTGTTCGGGTGTTAATCATTCTATATAGTCCAAACGTCTATGTGGACTGCCAAGTCAGCATTTTTCACTGGAAAAAAATTAATAAATCTGGTTAAGTGATCATCAAAGTGTAATACGGATCGTTGATGGACTTTCTTGTTACAAACGAAAGAAAAGTGACTTTACTTCATAATTTCACATAGTTCAGTGATCATCTGAGTAATGGACTCGAAATATTATTATAAATGAGAAACTATAAGCAAAAGATTCTAAGAAGTTTGAATGATTCAAAAAGCCATACCTGACCTGTTAGATTACCAACAAAAGCAAGCAGAGGATCGGCAAGAAGTGGAGCGAAGGTTTTCTACAAAGTTCTGAAATCGAAAGTCAAAGTTATTGTTGGATATTAGTTCTTGAAACTACACTATAAAGAGCAATAAAGCCCAAAAAAAAAAGGGGAGACTGCATGGTAAAATAGAACAATAATAAAAGATCACAAATGAGAGTGGTATGGAGAAAATTAAAAACTTTGACTGCGCATCCAAAGAAACACAAGAATAAAGTTAAGAGCACAAATCGCTGATGAAACACAAAAATCTATTGTGACTCATGCACAAACAAAATCAGATCGTAAGCACTTAAATATACATATATAAATCTAAGGGAATTCATAAGTAAAATTATACTTTTTGCAAAATACTAATGAAATCAGATTCTAAGCAACAATATATACATAAACTGATAGAACTTGGAGATACCCTAATTTACTTGGAGACTCATTATATATGAAGAACTTCTTCAAGTCTTCAAATTTGGAATGAAATCTTTAGCAAATTCAAGCGTGGAATTTAACATATTTTGTGAGATTCCTTATATATGAAGGACTTCTTAAGTCTTCAAATTTGGAATGAAATCTTTAACAAATTCAAGCGTAGAATTTAACATATTTTGCTAATATTTTAAAAAAGCTAGTATAATTTTATAATTACAATTTTATCTAAACGTGAACTACATTGACGAAGGGTAAAAAAAGGCGAACGATATTTCGCTAAAGCTCTTCGTGCTTTTAATATAGTATAGATATAGCTATAATTATAGATTAGATAAGTTTGGCCAAATACATGACAATCCCTTAAACTTGTTCACACTTTTCAGATAAACACTCTATTTCAAGTCTGTTCCATTTGAACATTTTAAGTAGGTATTTACTGTGTCATTTAGACACAAAATTGATAAGCATCCTAACACAAAAAATGGGTATAATTCACATGCTATGGTAACAAATAAAACGTAGACACGTAGATTTAACTAAAACAACAACAACAACAACAACAACAACAACATACCCAGTAAAATCCCACTAGTGGGGTGTGGGAAGGGCAGAGTGTACGTAGACCTTACTCTTACCCCGGAAGGGTAGAGAGGCTATTTCCGGGAGACCCTCGGCTCAACAGAAGAGACAATAATATCATAAAAGAAACGAAATAAAAGATCCGTAACAACAAAAGAAGCCAGAGAAGTAATAATATCATCTTAAGAGACACCAAATAAGTGAAAGGGAATGCAATAACACAATATTGTGCAAAACAATAAAATAGTGTGAACACAACATAGACCGCTAATAGACATAGACAAAACTCTATCAGACTACCCGGTACAAAGAGGGAAAAACTCTCTACTACCCCCTAGCCTAACCCTAATGCTCGACCTCCACATATTCCTGTTAAGAGTCATGTCCTCGGAAATCTGAAATCGCGCTATGTCCTGCCTGATCACCTCGCCCCAATACTTCTTAGGCCGCCCTCTACCTCTACTCGTGCCTGCCAAAGCCAATCGCTCGTATCTCCTAACCGGGGCATCTATGGTTCTCCTTCGCACATGCCCGAACCATCTAAGCCTCGCTTCCCGCATCTTGTCGTCCACGGGTGCAACGCCCACCCTCTCCCGAATATCTTCATTCCTTATCTTATCCAATTTAGTAAGCCCGCACATCCATCTCAACATCCTCATTTCGGCTACTTTTATCTTCTGGATATGTGAATTCTTAACTGGCCAACACTCAGCCCATATAACATAGACGACCTAACCACCGCTTTGTAGAACTTACCTTTGAGTTTCGGTGGTACATTCTTGTCACACGGGACTCCAGACGCTAAACGACATTTCATCCACCCCACCCCAATATGGTGCATGACATCCCGTTGATCTCCCCATCTCCCTGAATAATTGACCCTAGGTACTTGAAACTTTCTCTCTTGGGGATGACTTGTGAGTCGAGCCTCACTACCACGTCCGCTTCCCCCGTCACGCTGCTGAACTTACACTCCAGATATTCCGTCTTAGTCCTACTCAACTTGAAACCTTTGGACTCTAGGGTCTGCCTCCAAACCTCCAGTCTCTTATTAACACCGCTACGCGTCTCATCAATCGGAACTATATCATCAACGAAAAACATACACCATGGCACCTCCCCTTGAATATGGTGCATCAGGGCATCCATCGCCAGTGCAAATAAGAACGGGCTAAGCGTAGATCCTTGGTGTAACCCCATAACCACCGAAAAAAGCTCGGAGTCACCTTCCGCAGTCCTGACCGAGTCTTAGCTCCATTATACATATCCTTTATCGATCTAATGTACGCTACCGACACCCCTTTCACCTCCAGGAATCTCCAAAGAACGTCCCTAAGGATCTTGTCATACGCCTTCTCTAGGTCAATAAACACCATGTGCAAATCCCTCTTCCTATCCCTGTACTGTTTCACTAACCTCCTAATAAGGTGGATAGCTTCCGTAGTATAACATCCCGACATGAACCCGAACTGATTTTCAGAAATAGACACTGCCCTCCTCACCCTTCCCTTCGACCATCATCTCCCAAACTTTCATGATATGACTTAACAACTTGATGCTCCTATAGTTGTTACAATTCTGGATATCACCTTTGTTCTTGAATAGCGGAATCATCATACTATATCTCCACTCATCTGGCATCCTCTTCGTCCTGAAAATAATATTAAACAGCCCAGTCAGCCACTCTAAGTCTGCTCTACCCATAGAACTCCAAAATTCTACTGGAATCTCATCTGGTCCGGTCGCTTTGCCCTGACTCATCTTACACACAACTACCACTACCTCATCAACCTTAATACGCCTACAATACCCAAAGTCTCGGTGACTCTCGGAGTGTCCCAACTCCCCTAGCACGATGTTACTGCTCCTCTCTTCATTCAGAAGTTTATGAAAGTACGTCTGCCATCTATTCTTAATCTGTGACTCTTCCGTCAATACTCTACCTTCCTCGTCTTTGATGCACCTCACTTGATCCAGGTCACGAGACTTCCTCTCTCTCGCTTTGGCCAGCGGGAATAACTTCTTGTCCCCACCTTTGCCCCCCAGTTCCTCATACGACCGACCAAACACATCAGTCTTAGCCTCTGTGACCGCTAATTTTGCCCCCTTCCTAGCTTCCTTATACCTAACTTTGTTTGCTCTCTTCTGCTTCTTGTCGGTACTCTCCACTAACGTAAGGTACGCCATTTTCTTTGCTTCCACTTTACCTTGAACCACATCATTCCACCACTAGTCGCCTCGGTACCCGCCATAGTAGCCCTTCAAGACCCCTAACACCTCTCTCGCCGCCTCCCTTATATAGTCCGCCGTCGCCGTCCACATAGCGCTAGCATCCCCACCCCTCTTCCAGTCACCCATAGCCAACAACCGCCCCTCCAACTCATGCGCATTATCCTTAGCCAAAGCACCCTACCCGATCTTCGGTTGACCCCGTATAAACCTCTTCTTCCTCTTTGTCACGATAGGGACGTCCATCGCCAGGATCTTATGGTGAATCGCGAGGTTCTCACTCGGGATCACCTTACAATCCTCGCACAACCACCTATCACACCTCCCGAATCCTCGCACAACCACCTATCACACCTCCCTGAGGAGGATATAATCTATCTGGGTCTTAGCCACCATACTCCGGAAAGTAACCAAATGCTCCCCCCTCTTCGAAAAAGTAGAGTTCGCGATCATCAACTCAAAAGCCCTAGCGAAATCCAAGAAAGAAGTACCTCCTCCATTCTTATCCCCAAAGCCAAAGCCACCGTGCACCTCGCCATTATCCCCATCAGACGATCCAATATGACCATTGAAATTTCCTCATATAAATAACTTCTCTGTTACCGGAATACCCTGCACCACCTCATCCAACCCCTCCTAGAAGCGCCTGTTAACCTCCTCGTCCAAGCCCGATTGCAGCGTGTACGCACTAACGACATTCAGAGTGCCTCCAACTACTAACTTAATCGCCATCAATCTATCATTTACCTGCCTAACCTCAACCACTGATTCCCTGAGCTCCCTATCCACCAAAATATAGAAAAAACTAAAATACAGAAAAAAGTAAAAAAGAAACAAGAACCATCAGAAAAAGGTTCTGGTCGAGTTCTTCTTCCATTCTCGTCGATCATTCATATTTCTTTCTCCATCTCAGTTGGCTTTCTACATCCATATATGCTATAAGGTCTCCTTTTTTATCTTTTTCAAATTTCACCTAATTTGCTCGATTGAAGAAGGTTGTCGGTGCAATATCGAAAAGAGTACCGGGCTCTCAAATTTTTGCTTCTATTTGCCGATGTGAAACTAAAAATATCTTGGACAGAAGCAAACTCAGGTAGTAGGTTTTACGACTGCAAAATCGATCAAGTTAGTGTTTTCACTAAAATTCTAAGTTGAGGTTGAGCCTGCTGTGTCGTCTCACCACCATTACCGACCAGCTGAAGCCTGAAGCTCTAAGGAAGAAGAAGGATTATGATCAGCACTTGTCTGAGAATACGCTTGCAATCCAGCATCAGTAGCACCAATTTATTGCTACATAATTGATAGGAAATTCACTGTGTCATTTTGTCGAATACCTTATATGCTCGAAACAACTGAAAATTCTTTTTACATTATCGTGGAGTTTGGCTGGATGAAGTCAGTGAGAGAAAGCTTAAACATATTATCCATGACAGCAGAAAGTTTTTCGCAATAGTTTTTTTGATTTGGACCGACGGAACTCCATTTCCGGCCAACTGAAGCTTCGTCGGTGTTCAACATAATGTCGGAGCTGACTTTTTTGACAGTAAAATAGTTACTTACAATTTATGGGTTGGTCAATTTCACCAGGAAAGATTCCTCGAAGATGCTTCAGTCCACCGGTGATAAAATCAAAATTTTAATACCACTAGTCAATGAACTCTGAAACCACCAGGAACACTTCGATTCACCTTCACTCGTTCCAAGAGAATTCAATAGCACGTGAAATTGAAAATTAAATCTGCTCCAACATTTTAATCGATAGAAAAATTTAGATTTGATATCCGACCAGCAAAAATTATATTTTCCAGCAAGAAGTACGAGTAGTTCGTTTTCAGGACCATTTCAGGCTTTCAGCTCGACAAATATGAGTAACACTTACCTTGACATGTCTGCCTTTTGTGTCTAAATGACACAATAAAAGCGTGCTTAAAGTGTTATGAATCAAAATGACCAAAACATAAGGCTGAGGGTATATTTGGAAACTTAGCAAATTATATTTGAGACCCGGTTAGATGGAGTATATACGATATACCTATATATACAATAGAAAACATTCTACTAGAGAAAAAGTTATGAACTTGATTTATTTTATTTTACTTAGTTTCTCAGAGGATAGATCTAGAACCTCCCTTCCTTCTCCCCTTTTCATTTTTTCTTCCTATGGAAGATTTGGTTACTTGTTTTAAACATTTGTAATTATTTGAAGATGAACTCTTATATTTGTGTATTTGGTTCTCATAATCCATTTCAATATAATATGAGTTCACTACATGAAGCGTGAACAACTTTAGCGTCTGTCGATGTATATGACCTATAATTTTCATATATAGATAACTCAACATCCAATAGTTATAATCCAAATCATAAATAAATTATAGTGGGTGTTTGGACATAAGAATTGTAAAATTATGAAAAAAAATGATTTTTTTTCCAAATAAAAGTGGTATTTAAAAATTAGAGTTGTGTTTGGACATAAATATAATTTTGGGTTATTTTTAAATTTTTATGACCGATCTGAGTGAAAATTTTGAAAAATAAATTTTTGGAGTTTTTCAAAATTTTAAGCGAAAATTTTTTGGAAAAAAGAAAAAAAAAATTTATAACCAAACGGGTTCTAAAAAAGAATAAAAACAAAAATACCCCGCACAAAGTGCATTACGGGTCGAATCCGCCCCGCCCCGTTAAAGTCCACCCTATATTAACAAAACCGAAACACACATTGGCTCCTTATTTCGTCGTCACCAACACCTCTCAGCCCCCCCCCCCC